TCCTATTGAGTGAATTGGATTGAAACTAATCAAATTAACTCTCAAATCAATAAAATTTATTGTAATGAGATGAAATTAGGATAAAATCTAGTTATTCCATACAATTCAATATATATTCCTTTCGTCCCAAAAAGAATATCACACTTCACTATTTAAAAATTACGGAAATTTTATTTGTTTGTGCGTTATCATTTATATGTATAACTTATCTTTAATTTCTACATATAATAAATTTAAGGCATAAAATTTTGTATTTTTTTCAAAAAGATAATCCATTTTTTGAGGGAATAAGCAAGTAATGTAATTAGTTCAAATGGTAAAATAAAAGTAAAAATTTAAAAATATAATATGCTTATTGAAAGGCAAACATAGTTCTGAATTTATCGATTTTAGTTCTAATCGGGTTCGGATATTATCGGTTTCAGATCTAATCGGTTTCGGGTATTATCAGGTTCGGATCTAGTCAGTTTCGGGTTTAATCGGTTCGGATATTATCATTTTCGGATCTAATCGGTTTCGGATTTAAATCGGATATGAATTATTTAGTTCAGTTTTGGTTCGATTCGGATCATTTCGGGTTTTCGGTTATAGATCGGATCTTCATTTTTCGGATCATTCCGGTTTCGGTTTCGGATATTTCGGGTATTATCGGATTCGGATCATTCCTGTTTGCCAGGTCTACCTAAAATGATACAAGTTTAAAAACTTTATTTTCAGGGAATTTGGGTATTATTTTCTAAAAGGCATGATTTAAAGATGAATTTTGAAAATATTATTTAATTATGCAAACCAAGGCTAAAACATATAAAAGCACGTATAGGATAAGGTTTTATTTTTGAAAATAATTAAAACCAAACAAAATATCTTATCCCAATGAGCAAGAAAAACGTACCTTGGCTTATGCCGCTCTTTTTTCAACTTTGAATATACTTCTTTCCTCTTCACGTACTTCTTCCATTTGAGGAAATCCGTATACTTCATTCTCATTGCTTTCTCTTCATCTTCTTCATCATTTGACTCTTCCGTAGATCTTGAGTCACTTGAATCATCACTTGATTTACTTGACTCTTCACTTGACGAGTCTTTTGAAGCTTTGAAGGCGTTCGTAAGTTTAGGGTTTTCACGCATTTCTTCCACTTTGATCTTTTTCGACAAAAGCTCGTGAGGATACAAGGAAGACCAAATGTGGGCAGTTTCGGCCTTATCGCATTTGGGTAATAAATCTACAATACTATCATGCCATTCTTTAGGTAAAGAAAATAGAATTTTCGTATTAAGCTCGGAAGTAGTATACGTCTTACCCCACTTACTCAATTTATTTACAATCTCGTTGAACCTCTTGTTCATGTCTTGGATTGTCTCACTTGACCCTTTTTTGAAGGATTCTTATTTCGAATTCCTGATGGCTAACATGGTTTGTTTTGTTGAGGTGTCTCCTTCATGTATAGCTTGGAGTAGATCCCAGACCTCTTTAGCCGTTTTGCAAAAGAAAACATGTGCGAATTCGTTGGGACCAAGAGAGCAATGCAAAATGTTAATTGCTTTTGCATTCATTGATAGCTTCCTCTTGTCTTCCGAAGACAAACCTGCAAAATCACCACTACTCGGCACAAATGGCCCGTGAAATACATTCAACCATAAATCATAATCAATTGATTGAATAAAATATTTCATCTGCATTTTCCAATAAGAATAATTTTGGCTATTGAAAAACGGAGGGCGGTGGATGCTTTGAGAGTCCATTTGTGACATTTTTCAATAAATTTGAATTTAAAGAAAATAATAAAATTTTGAGTTTAAAAATTCAAATTTAAAAAGGGACACAACAAGTGGATCTTTGTCGTAGATGCGGTTATGCACTTTCACCTACGAAACCGCTCTGATACCAATTATTAGTCGGTTTAGTCGTTGTGCCTACACCTTAGGGGGGGTAAATAAGGCGTTTAAAAACTTTTCGGAGTTAAATAAAAATGGTGTTGGCAAATGCGGAAGCAATATATAAAACGTAGAAATAAAAGCGTAAATAAAATGCATTCCAATTTTATACTGGTTCGGGAACTCCCTACTCTAGTACCTCGAGGCTCCTCCTCAAAGATTTCTGAATCCACTAAGTCTCGGTCTCTTGAAATTCGTCAAAGCACCGCACTAGTTTGGCAAACAACCCTTCCCAATAGGATTCCCTCTGAGATTCACCACGGCGATCTCGAATCGTTTACAACGAAGATTTCACGGCTATCGTCTACCGTTCCCCCAAGGATTTCAAAGGCTATCCTTGAACTTATACCCAAGGATTTATACGGCTATCCTTAATCGTTATAACGTGAGAATTTAACGGTTATTCTCAACCGTAGATGTAACGCCCCAAAACATACCCTAGAATTATTAATGAATAGTTATTCGATTAATCAAATTTGTTTTGATTAAAATAAATTATTATTGGGCTTTGGGCCAAAATAAAATGTGCTTTGATATCCAATATCACGATCAGGATAAATCTCGTAGAGATAAATCCAATTTATTGACTATTTGTGTGGTCTTGATTGGGAACCTGAGTACAGACCCAAATCAAGAATAAATGAAGAAATTATTTATGATGTGAACTTTTAAAATGATTTATTGAAATAAATCATGAGAATAATTTATATGAATGAAATATGAGAACCTTTTTGAATAAAGCTCAACTAAATGAATTTTGACTATGTCAAAGTCAAACACCCAAAAATATGATGTCAGAAAAAGTAATACATATAAATATAAAAATTATATCGTTGGATAGTTTAACTATCTAGACGCGACGGTGCAAACGGAATTCAATTCGGAGAAAGTTGTACCAAAAAGTGTGCCCCAATTGGGACCAAATTTGTCCCAACCAGAGAGTGGCATGTAAAATCCTACAAATCGCCACTCACTCCACTCAGCCGATTACACAGGGAAAGGAAGCAACGTAAATTTGGCTCCTTCCCCATCACCATTCCTATATAAGAGAACCCAAGCTCCTTTATTTCTTCACCAAACCTCTCCATTCTTTATTCTATTCTGTTCTTTGTTGAGAGAGGAGTGCAGTGGTGCTATCAATTTGGTGAGAGGTCGCCGGAGCTAGCCACAAACCTCGCCGGAAGTTTCGCCGGAAAATTTCCAAAACATTCGTTAAAGCTTCGAGGTAAGCCTGTAGATATATCTAATGACTAGAATGTTCGTATAGATCGTTTCTACGTTCATAAACGATCGTTTGGTTGAGTTTTGTGTTTGACATGCTTGAGGAACCAAGAATCATAAACCATGAAATTGATGTTAAAACTATGAATTAATGATGCAAAAATGATCTATGAGCCTTGGAGAACATCTCTATATAGTTTCGTTGAAGTTCGGTAACTAAAAACGGTTTTTCCGAAAAATGGACCGAAGGTTGAAGACGAATGAACAGTAGCTGAAACCCACTGCCTGGATCGATCCTAAGGCTTGGATCGATCCTTTGGGAAGAGTTTTTCATATCATGGATTGATCCAGAAGGCTGGATCGATCCCCCGAAGTTCTGATCTAAAAATTGGCTGAAAATGCTATTTTTGAGCTCTAAAATCATATTTTTGATACCAATTGATTATGATCATTATAAAAATGATTTTTAACAATGAAAATGATGTGTTTAACAAATAAAAATGTTATGTGATGCATGACGGTAAGTTCAGGTGTTAACACTCGAAGCTAGGCCGCTAATTGTTATCGATTGTATTGTTGATTGATGATTATGATTAATTATTATGGATGATGAACCTACTGATTAAAATGAGTATTTATGATTGAATCACGAGTAATAAAATAAATAAATTTATAATTATGAAATGATTTGTAGTGTTAAGGATATCTAGAAGAACTCTAAGATATACCCATTTAGAGAATTGATGTTAAGGCTATCTAGAAGACCTCTAGAATAGATCTCATATTAGTATGGATATGTGAAACATGAATATTCAATGATTGAATTAAAATGTAGTAATGGAATTCGTAGACCAAACTAGAGAATCACTTGTTTGGAAATGCTTTGACTCATTGATTATTAATCACTGTATTGTTGTTGCCTTGAACTAATTATAGTTTAAGCGTCTGAAAATTGTTGTGCGCCTTAAACTAATTAAAGTTTAAGCGTTGGAGAACTATGGCCTTAAACTAATTAAAGTTTAAGCGTAGTGTTGAAACACGGGCTTGTCACGTTTTTCGTACTAAAGCCGTGTTCGTTTTTATAACAGGTTTTGATAATGCCAAACCGCCATGATCAAGACAAACATTGAATATACAAGGCGAAGAACGAAGATAAAGAACAAGAGCTAAAAGAGACCAAGAATGAAGACCGCAGTCTTTAGTATTGTTGAGTCGGTCATAATTGTGATCAAGACCGACCCAGCCCTCACGCATTGGCTCTTTAGGCTATAATCTTTTATCACATCATAAAAATGTTTTTCAAACATCTTTAAGTCATTAAAAACACTTGGTGTTCGCCCAAACCAAAAACCAAGCCATCCAGCGTTCGGGTTTCAGAAACCGGCGTTCGGGTTTCAGAAACCGGCGTTCGGCTTTCGGTTATCGGCATTGGTTTTTGGCGTCCAAACCAACCAAGTGGTTTTCACCTTTTTATGATTGGTTTTCACTATTTGGCATGTTTAAACGGTTCTCCAACAAAAACACTTTGAAAACCATCTTTCACTTTTGGTCGTTTGACAAAAATCATTCAAAACGGCATAAACTTGGCTAGCCGTGGTTTTCACTCAAATGATGTGGTTTTTAAAGTGTCTTACTTGATTTCTTAGCAAAATACATCAAATAAGTGTTTTAAACACTTGGTTTTTATTTTGGAGAACTTTGGATTTTTCAGTCGGTTTTTGCATCGGTTGGCTAGGCCGTGGTTAAGGCAAAAACCATGGGTTTTTCATAGCTTTCTAGAGCCAATTTGTGAAGTTTGAGTTGTTCTTGAGCGTATATAGTTTACTCAACATCTACTCTAAAAGAGAGCCTTGTTCTTGAGTGTCTTAGTGTTGTATACACGTTAAGGGAAGCTTGTTTCCCTTGGTTGTACGAAGGAAAGGTATTTTCCTTCGGGTTGAAGTCTTGGAGTGCGGTATCTCCGAGCAAGTGTTGTTGAGGCTCGTGGGACTNTCATATTATCATTGCATTCAAACAACATCATTTTTCATAGCTTTCTAGAGCCAATTTGTGAAGTTTGAGTTGTTCTTGAGCGTATATAGTTTACTCAACATCTACTCTAAAAGAGAGCCTTGTTCTTGAGTGTCTTAGTGTTGTATACACGTTAAGGGAAGCTTGTTTCCCTTGGTTGTACGAAGGAAAGGTATTTTCCTTCGGGTTGAAGTCTTGGAGTGCGGTATCTCTGAGCAAGTGTTGTTGAGGCTCGTGGGACTCGAGTTCTCAGGTTGTAACGGTTTGTTAAGCACCCGTAAGCTTAACGGAAGTAGTGTAGCTCGAGAGAGTCTCTCGGGAGACTGGATTAGCCAAACGTTGTGGTGAACCAGTATAAATCTTGGTGTGCTCCCTTTACGCTTTCTACGCTCTTTACTTTTCACGTTTTTAATTTTTTATTCCTGCGATTTCTACGATCAAACGCTATTCACCCCCCCCCCTCTAGCGTTGGTCACTTATTCTAACATGTAGGAGAATTATTGCCTTAAACCAATTCCTGTTTAAGCGTCGGAGAACTCTTGCCTTAAACTAATTATTAGTTTAAGCGTCTGAGGATTGTTTCCCTTAAACTAATCATAGTTTAAGCATCTGAGAATGAAATTATGTTTTGGCCTTAGACTAAGATTAGCTAAGAGCATCGTTATGATCTAGCCTTAGACTAATAGTAGCTAAGAGCATTGTTATTATTTGGCCTTAGATTAAGAATAATTTAAGAGCACCGTCGAAATAATATCTAAATTGAATAGAATATGTTGATATGAACTGAACAATATCAAAATCATGAATGTCTGAATTAAACATTGTATGCATGATATCAAATGATTTGCTTGTGAATTTAGATTCAGTTTATATGGATGTTCGACGCATTAGATATGCTTACTCAGCTTTACCGCTGAGCGTGTAGTTTGTTTTATTTGCTACACGCAGGTAAACAAAAAGAACAATGCGATCCTGACAGCAGATGCAGCGAGATTGTCGGGATGGATGTACAAGTTTTGAATTGATTTATGATATTTCAATATTAAATTCCCTTCTGCAATATTGTTGAATACTCCGTACTGTATATGTTATAAAAATATTATTGTGATAAATAAAAGTGTTTGAAAAGTTTTAAATTTTTACGACTACCAAGTTAATACTTTAATCCAAAAGGGGCTGCAGACCTGGACGGTTTAGGGTGTTACAGTAGAAAAGTGTGTTTGAAGAACACAAACAAGGATTCTACACAACGACTAGAATATAAAAGTAAAGAACCAAACTTAGCCGGTGTAGAAGGAAATTATACTCTCTCAAAAATACAATATAAACTTATGAATATGAGAGTATATAACTAGAAACACAAGCTCAAAGTGTGTGTATAAAAATCAGGAATTAAAGGCTCTTGAAATAGCCAAAATATTGAAAATATGAATAAAAGAATGAACACACTTAGAATATAAAGGGATGATGTTTGGAGCTTTGTTTCTTGAAAAAATATGAAGGATTCGGCTTCTATTTATAGTGGTAGATGTTAATTAGCCATTGGGAGGTGATTAGGGTTGATTTAATTCAAAATCACAAATCAGGAACAGTAACCCAACAATCACGGTAGGCCGATAGCGTCCTCACGCTAGCATGGTACCATTTGTACGGTATGGGGTACCGTGAGTGGCGATACCTCGGTACCGTGTATCACAGAAAAGCAGTCTGGCTCTGGAGGTAGCTGGTATCTAACGGTACTGGGGTACTGTGTTGGCGGTACACCCTACCGTGTAGGCGATATAGGGTACCGCTTGGGGTACCGTGGCTCTGTTCTAATTTTTTCAAAATTCCCTTAATCCTTCATGTTTGAGTTTAAAACGTTTTAGATATTTGAAAATGTTTATGGGATAGTTCTAAACATATTTTGTGAGTGCTTTTGAGCTTGTGAGTATAGGTATATAAAGTCATATCCTTACATTGGTTTCTACCTATATTCTACGCTAGTTTAGTGTTTCGACTTCATTCTTGAGTACCAAATCTTAATGGATTCTTGTTGTACCTGAAACACTTAAACAAACGTTAAGCTCTTATATAGTTTTTTAACATCAAAACATGAGGCTTAGAAAACTAAGGCTAACAATCTCCCCCTTTTTGATGTTGACAAACAATATACTTCAAAGTGAGTTAGATGGGAGTAAAATAATGAAGCAAGCAAGCTCCCCCTAAGAATAAGTGTATTGAAAATACTCACTTTGAACTTTTTTTTTATTATAAGTTTAATTTTGATGCAAATAGTTACACAAGAATGCACTCAAGTTAAGTTGCATATGCACCACTTTGAAGTATACATCTTCTCCCCCTGTTGTCAAAATCAAAAAGGGTATTTTGAAAATTTTAACCATGTATAACTTCTTGAAACCATCCCCTTATCAAAATGAATTTTTAGAAAAAATTATAGTTTGAAGATCATTGGGCAAAAGGTGCATTTAAACGAAACTCCCCCTTAAACCAAAAACTCCTCCTAAAATGATATAAGTTTAAAAACTTTATTTTTCAGGGATTTTTGGGGATTATTTTATAAAAGGCATGATTTAAGTGAATAAAAATGTCATTACGGTAGAAACCACAATTAGCCAAGTTTAAGCTGTTTCACATGATTTTTGCCAAAAGACCATAAACGGAAGGTGGTTTTTAACATGTTTTTTTGGAGAACTATTTAAATGTACCAGAAGTAAAAACCAATCATAAAAGATTAAAAATTACTTGGTTGGTACGGATACCGAAAACCAAACTCAATAACCGAAAGCCGAACGCCGGTTTCTGAAAGCCGAACGTTGTGGTTTTTGGTTTGAACGAACACCAAGTGTTTTTGGCTTATAAAACAATTATTAAAATTGTTTTAATGATGCATGAAATCGTATTAATGATTTTAAGCCTAGAGACCCAAGTCACAAAGTTAATACTGGACTTGATCACATTAAAACTAACTCAACTATTTCTTAAGTCTTCGTCTTCGTTCTTAGTTCTTGAATTTATTTGATCACCTTGATATATTGTTCTTTGCCTTGTGTTTGTTCAAAGTCTTTTCATATCCTCGGTGGTTTGACATTTATCAAAACCTGTCAAAAACAAACATCTCTTTTGCACACAACATGGTTGTAAAGTGTGTTCCAACAACAATAAGTGTGCCATGATGCGCGATACATCCGGATAGGAGTGAGCATGGTACTGTATGGTATGATATTTAGCTCGTACCAATACTGAACCAGATACTTCGGTTCGGTATGAGATTTTATCTCATAGTAAACCCAATCCCATAATTTGGTTTAATATGGTTTGGGATAGTTCAGTATCAATTTTTGTATAAATAGGTATAAATACATGCATGTGTACCTAATTTATAATTTAAGATTTAACAAAACCCTTTACAACAACAACAACAAAAACAACCCAGTATAATCCACGGAAGTAGAGTCTAGGGAGGGTGAATGTACGCAAACCTTGCCCCAACTCGAAAGTAGAGAGGCTTTTTCAAAGAGACCCCCGCTCGAGCCAAATTTAACAAAACCCTTTATTTTTGAAAAATAAAAAGGTATTTAAATAAAGAATCATAAGAAACTGAAAAATTAATAATTAAATTCAAGAAAGGCTTATGAAACTTATAGTTTTTATTTCCCAAACTAAAGAAAATGAATGATTAGAAAATAGTATTCTAAATGCTTGTTAATATTTTTAATTCATCAACATAAAATTAAAACTCGAATAAAAGAATAATGTACACATAATAAAATTTGAACCAAAATTTTAAATTGACTTATTGTTTAATGAATAAATATAAAACAAATATTATATTTATAGTATTTTAGTATATATCTTTGGTTCGGGAATTTCAAAATGGAAAATTACCTCGTACCGTTCAAAAATACCGATCTCATCATTCGGTTCGGTACAGTTTGATTTTTTCCAATATGTCTTCGGTCCAATTTTCTCAATTTTTTTCAGTAATTTTTAAATTCCGTTCGATACTTGTTCACCCCTCCACCCCGTTATACGATATAATATGCCTTCCATTCAAGGCAGTATTAGGGGTGGGAAAAAATATCGGTCCGACATTGTTCCGAACCGAACCGTTATTATACCAAACTGAAAAGTGAGTTTCAATTGGTTCTAGTAAATCATATCTAGAGACGAACCGAACCGTTTTCAAGATGGTAAGGGATGGGTTCTCGACCAAAGATATCGAACCAAACCACTATCACTAAAATATTAAATTATTATATTAATCATACATTTTCATTTTTTTTTAATCTTTTTTTATATTTAAGTCATATTTATTTGGTGTGAATTTAACATGTTTTTATGTTCTTATATTATTTTGTTATCCCAGTGTACAATTCAAGTAAAAATGTGCACAAATTTTTTAAATTACATCGATTATTTTTTATGAAAAAATATATTTTAAAATTATCGAAGTATTATGGAATGGTTTGATATTAGTATGACATGGTATCATCCCACTTCCTCCGAACTAGAGCTGGCAAAATGGTTGAGCAGGTAGGGTTCAGGTTACTTCGGGTTCGGGTTGTGAGCTACGTGTTCATGACCCAATGTAAACTGGTTCACACCCAACAGATTATGACTTCCACTTATTTTTTTAAAATTTTAAGTAATTTTTATGAGCAACTGTTAATAACACGAATAAAAAAACTAGATGTGTAGAAAATTTTGAAAAAAGTAAGATAATTATGCAATATCATTAAAAATTTGTATAAAAAAATTTATACATTAAAAACAAGTAATAAGCAAAGAAATATAAATAAAATCTTATTTTTATAACATTATATTACATATTAAAGCATATGATTTTAAAAAATTCTTATATTAGCGGGTCGGTCAAATCGGGTTCGGTCAGATTTGACCCATTTTTAATGATTAATTTCAGCTTCAGTCAACTTCGGATTCAGTCAGTAAAACTTTTACTCAAAATCCAGTATTTTGAATCGAGTCTCGGGTCAAAAAGAGGCCCTATTGAGTTTTGGCCTTTGAACCATAGGTAGCGAATGACTTTAGGGCTGTTTAGGCTTAATACTAAAACAATAATGAACCATTTGAATAATAGGAGTCTGGGGTATGGGGCTATGGGCAATATGGCAACTCGTTGAGTTTTCCTCCTCCCACCTGAGTGAGTTCTGAATTCTCGTAAACCCCCATCATGGCTGCAAATTTCTGGACCTCATCTCACTAGTAAGCTTAGATTGAATCGTTTTTGTTCCTGTGAATATTAATTTTAATTTCCTATGTTTCGATTATATCCCTTTTTTCGTTATTATTTTAATTTCACAATTTTTCCCATTGCTTCTAAATTACAGCAAGAATCTTCTGGATCCTGAAGAGGTGGATGTTGCTCATCAGATTGAGAAGGAAAGAGGCATCACCCTTGAGGATCGCAAGCTCATCAAGCTCCATATGTCTAATTGTATTTCTCCTTTCTTGATTTCTAATCTATTAGTGTATATATGTGTTGGAACATTGATTTTTAATGATTTTCTTAGGTATCTGTAACTGATTTATGTACTGAATTTCTGCACCATTCCAC